CCTTGCACAGTTCTGTTTCCCCAACACACAGTCATCATTTCTGTTCAAGCCCATGCCTGTTAGACACTGAATAAAAGGCTGAACCACTTCAGTTAGATTAGATGGAGAATTACATTTTTCAGACAGGCCATGAAAACACACAGTCTATGCTTGTGTACTAATGGTGTTAATCATAAAAGCTAAATAAGTGGAGGTTTGCAAGGCAAGACTGGTTTAGGAGCGGGGGTGACTTGAGTATCTAACATTGTGTATCATTTTTATGACACTCCAACAGCATTAGTATCAAATCACCAACCAACATACAATATATTTGGCATTGGAAGGATGTTCATACCAAAGAGGGAGAAGAATTGTTTACTGTTGTATAAGTAGGATTAATGGAACAAATATGTGAGAGAAAATCTAGACTAAATTTCAGGACAAATTTGGCGACACTAAGATCCATGGGACTGCCAGCCTAGTCTATAAAATATTTAAAATATTAGTGAATGTACTGTAGGAACAAACCCACACTAGACCCAGGGAATTGGCTTGATGACCTAACAGAATTTTTAGATGGCCTAAGAATGTAATTTAGTGAATATTTTAATGTAACACTGTTTTAGTGTTTATTCCTCAATGCTAATCTCACTTTGATTTTGTCACTTTTACCAGAGGCATGAGACTTGCCGACCGCAGTTGAACAAAATATGTGGTGGATCGATACCAACCAGTGGTGCAGTAACACAGCAAAAAAGAATGCTTCACAGCACTATTCAGGTTAGAATAGTTTATTATTATTGTTAGCGGCTCTTTTGTACTAATCACTGTACAGGCACTTTTAACTTGTGACAGGATTACTTTGAGTACATTACTGGTGGATGGGGAGAAGCAGTACATGTGCTACACCTTGATTTAAGTAAGGCATTTAACACATTACCATCTGACATTCTCATAAGCAAACGTGCTGTGGATGAAATTACTGTAAGGTGGATGCATAGATGAAAGACCATACTCGGAGGAGTTACCAACGTAATATGTGGCACATAATTGTCCTGCTTTACTCAGCACTGGAGAGGCTTTTGTTAGAGTACTATGTCCAATTTTGGGTGCCACAGTTTAGGAAATATTGGAGTCCAGAAGAGAACAGCAAAGGTGATAAAAGGTTTAGAAAACCTATCCTATGAGGAAAGATTAAAAAAAACTGGACATGTTTAGTTTTGAGAAAAGAAGAATGAAGGGGGACACCATAGCAGTGTTCAGATATGTTAAGAGCTGTTATAAAAAGGACATTGATCAACTGTTCTCCATGTTCACTGAAGGTAGGACAAGAAATGGTGGGTTTTAATTGGCAGCAAGGGACATTTAGGTTAGATGGTAGGAACAAAATCACAATTCTAAAGCTAGTCTAAGCGCTGGAATAGGCTTTCCAAAGAGATTGTGGAACCCCATCATTTGGAGGTTATTAAGAACTGTTTGGACAAACACCGATCAAAAATGGTCTAGGTTTACTTGGTTCTGCCTCAGAGCAGGAGGCTGGACTTGATGACTTATTAAGGCCATTTTCCATCTCCTCATTTATATGTTTCTTTGTGATGATATCTTTAAACAGTCCAGGAGATTGAGAGATGCTCAACCTGAACATTAAATATAGGATAGACATTATTGTAGACCAACACAATGATTGGAGAGCTTGTCCCCCCCTCCCCCGCCCCACTTCCTACCCCCTAGAGGCTGAGCATGGAAAATGTCATGTTCCTTTCTCTCTCCCCAACTGGGTGACAGTGAGCTACTGGGAAAGGTCCCACGAAAGGACATGCGAGGAGATGGGGCTGAGAAGGAAGAAAAATAATTATAGGGGACAGAGTCTTCCTTGTTTCCATCAGGAGAAAGGAGACGGAAGTGTTGCCCCCACTTCTCTTCTTGGTTTGTGTGTCTGCAAATGATATGAGGTATAGCAAATTTTGCAGTTCACTGAATGCTTAATACTGTCATACTCAATATTAATAGTGGTAACCAAAGATGTTGCACTATGAACACAGTGTCTTCTGCTGACCAGTATTGTTTTGTTTCCTTTTCTCCCTGTAGCTGTTCATTACATCTACTGTGACCTCTTGTTTGGACTGTAACTTCATTGGTGCAGAGTCCAGCTCTTATTTTTGTTTCGTGCCTAGTACGATGAGCTCTTATCTTTGATGGCCTTTAGTTTTCTATGTCTCCTTCCCCGTGATTCTCAGCCTTCTCAACGGCATGTAGGCTTGAGACTGGGATGGGATAGTTCTACCGTGTCCTGAAAAGTCTTGTCTGAATACCTCTTTGTCTCTCTTAGCTTCTTCAGTTTAGCCACTCTGGTGTCTAAAGTCTGTACTTGGTTTGCAGGCCATTAGCTGTTTGCACCTAGTGCATGTGTATGCCATCCACACACAAAGCATGCATTATATATGCTACACCCAGTGCAATAAACTGGATAGACCTCGGCCTGCTGCTGGACTTCTCCCTCTCTTTTTACTTGCACAACTTTTTGTGGTTTGGAAGGGAGAGAAGTGGCTGAAATTTAAAGAATGTTAATCTGGCGCTCAGGTTCCTTCTCTAAACTTCTTTACAAAACTCCTGTTAGCTATTCCTTGATATTAGCTCTTCTGGATGCTTTAGAGCTGACTTTTTAAAGGCCTGTTTTCCCTGAGTAGCTGTGCTCCCTAGTTTATGTTGGATGGATACTAAAGGGCTTAGGGATGAAAGTCTTTTTAAGAAGTGCTCAGCCTTGCCTAGCATGATCTAGGCTCAGTGCACAGTCCACCCCAAGCAGACCACATTCTATATGTCAGTCAAGTCGCAGGGTAACAGGTAGATACCAGCAAAGGATACATGGTCACTCCTCCTTCACTTGAAGACCTCCATTGCAAATCTGCCCTGTTAGTTAAGCCAGAGAACAGGAGCAACTATCTTGAATAATTTTGTATAGTCTGTTAATTTTGCCACCTCACTGTTTACCCCTCTTTTCAGGTCATTTATAAATATGCACTGCGCTGAACAGCACTGGTCCCAGTACAGACCTCTGGGTAACACTACTGGGTCTCTCCAGTCTGAAATTGGCCATTTATTCCTACTCTTTGTTTCTTTTCTTGTAACCAGTTACTGATCCATGAGAGGATCCATGACTGCTTACTTTGCTTAAGAGCCTTTCATGCAGGAAGTACACTGTATCACTTGGATTACCATTGTGTTGATGGTTGTTGCTCTCCTGCTCCATAGGTTGACAAGGCATGATTTCCCTTTACAAGAACTGTGTTGACTCTTTTCGACCAAATAGTGCTTATCTGTGTATCGGATAATTATGTTATTTAATAGAGTTTCAATTAGTTTTGCCTGGTATTGGAGTTAGGCTGACTAGCCTGTAATTGCCAGGATTGCCTTTGGAGCTTTTAAAAATACTGGCATCACCTTAGCTACCCTCCAGTTGTCTGGTAGAGAACCTGATTTAAGTGGTAGGTTACTTAGCACAGTTAGTAGTTCTCAACACTGCTGGTCATCACAGCTCTTTCCCACCAGCCTGTATTGGTCTCCTGAACCCAGAGATGGTGCTGAATGCTGTAACCTCTCCAGGAACTGGTTCTCTGCTATCAGTTGCTCATTTTCTTTGTCTGCTTTCTATTTCCACTGTCACATCACCTGCTCAGTGGTGTGGCTGGCAAATACACCTGACTTTGAGTGCTGAAATATAGCCCAGGTAGCCTCTGCATATTTAAGGCTGTTGCATAGTGACACAGAGCATAAAGAAGTATGGGAATAAACAGGAAGAACTAAAAGTACTTGAGAATAATCACAGCTATGACACAGTTGGCGTCATAGATATTACACATGACTAGAATATTAATATAGAGGAGTACAGCTTGCTCAGGAAGGGCAGGCAGGGAAGACAGAGAGGAGATATTGCCTTGTATATCAAAGATACAGTCCTTACTGCCTTGCAAGAGTTAATTTTGTGGACTATAGCTGCTAGGCCTTCCTGCCCAGCAGAGAAGAGCTGCCCCAAGATGTGGGACATGTGACCTTATTACCCTATGGAGCAAGGCATTTCCATGGACTCTGGCCACTGGACTTAAAAGCCCTTCAGATCAGGACATCTTTATGGACTCTCATTCTTGGGTCTCATGACTTTGAGGGGAGTTTGAAGGATGGGGGGAACTCATCCCACACTTCACATATGGTGAAGAATGCAGGCAGCATTCAAGGTTTGCTGTGAGGCCCATCCTTAAATCCCTGGTAGGGGGGAAATTAGTTTTCCCCTTGTGGCAGCGTGAGAACAGGGAGCTGCCGAAGCCTAGTGGAAGGCAGATATGTAGGGAGCTGGATATGTGACTTTATGTTCCCCGAGTAGGCTGTTAAAGACTATGGGACACCTGCAGCCACTTAAAGTGGAGGTGCACACTATAAAACTCCCCCAGGCAAGGCGGGGGGGGGGAGGAGAAAAGGGACAGACTAGAGGAGAACTCAAGGAGAAGGGAGCAGCCCAGAGCAGGAGAACACACCTGAATGAGCTGATGTGAAGGTTTGCTCTGCAATACCAGGAACGAGGGACAGCAGGATGGGTTGGGGAAGTGGTCCAGGGAGGGGCTGCTGCTTGGAGGGCTAAGGCCAAGGTACATGGCCTGCTTGGGACTGTCCCTCCACTATAGCGCCCTGGGCCGGAACCTGGAGTAGGTGGGTGGGACCGAGTTCCCCCCAACCCTCCCCTCTGGCTGGAAGGGCCAGCAGGGACTGGAAAAAGAAGGACACTGGACTGGCCAGTGATGAAAGAGGCTTTGGTAGCAGGGTACCCTGACCTTCGTGGCAGTAATTAGGGACACTGTGAGCCTCTGAGGCCCATAAGAACCCACCAGGAAGCACAGGACCCACAGGGCTTAGCCCAGACTTTGCCACACCCTCTACAGTAGTGGTGGTCTACTTGTGGCCCTGGGCCTTATGCACCTCACCAAAGTAAGCCGCTGGCATGTTGCCAGACAGGTAGTTTACCTTGCGCCTGCAGGTATGGCTGTCTGCAACTCCCATGGTCCATGGTTTGCTATTCCCGGCCATCAGGAACTACAAATTGTAGCCATTGGGAGCTGCAGTTGGCCATACCTGTGGATGCAAAGTAAACAACCTGTCTGGTGGCCTACGAGTACGTTACCTTGATGAGCTGTATGTGGCCTGCATGCTGCAGGTTGCCCTCCACCACTCCACACATAGTGGCGCTTCGCTGCCCAAAAGATTATCAGACCTCAAGATGGAATCCGACAAGGTTTAGAAGTGGCTTCTGGAATGTCAGCAAAGTAGATTGCCAGTCGACACCAGCAGATGGAGCATGAACTCATCACCCAGCAGCGAACCCAACAGGAAAGTCTCATGCAACAGATGGTGGCTTTATTATGACCTGAAGGCAATCAGGTTCCCAACCCAGCGGTGTTTGATGCTGGCACCCTACTATCCAGCCTCCTACTGTGACTTATCAAGCTAGGAGACCATACAACCATAGAGGTCTGATTCAGGATGATGACCATCCAAGTCTCGTCCTGAGAGGAAGATCTGCAGGCAGGAATGGGATCAATGAAGGAAGACCTGTTGGCTAGTGAGACACATGAATGCTGTTGTGAGTGCAGTTAAGAGGGGCATGGGTGATAAAATTGCCCTATATCAGGCATGCCCAAAGTCCGGCCCACGGGCCAATTGCGGCCCGTGTTCCGGTTTAATACGGCCCCACAGGTAATTTGGCAATATCTATCTTTTATGGCCCCCAACGA